AAAAAAAAAAGATGTACAACTTCTATAACTTTATAAATAATAATGACATTATATGACAATAAAGTTTATGATAAAATAATAATTAAGTATTATATGGTGAATAAGAATAAGTAAAATTGTTATTCTCTTATGTCAAGGAATAAATATATATACTAAAATCAAATTTATATTAGTATAAATGTGTTAGTGAGATAATATATTAATTATTTACAAGCTAGCCCTAACATGCTCATATTTAATGTTTTGACTAAAAAAACCACGCTAATTAAAAGAGGGAAAATGCTCCCCTACCCACGGTGGACATATTAACATGTGCCCGCATTTTCGAAAAAAGAGGTGCAAAATAGATTTTAACTTTATTGTTTATTACACTTAACGCTAATTAAAAGAGGTGGAAAATAGATGATAACCATATTGCTTTATATATTTTAACAGACAAAGACTGTGAAAATAACTCATTTAATATGTTTGTCACGTGCATTGCACGGGGTACGTACTAGTATAATTAACACATCTAAAATGACCGTAAATAATCAATATAGTATGGATAATCCGGACCTAATTATTTTTGGGTTGGAGGCCAAATAACAATAATGGAAAAAAACCTAGGTGTAATGCCCCGTTTCACGTTGGAATTTTTGAGGTTTTCTATTATATTATTATTATTATTATTATTATTATTATTATTATTATTATTATTATTATTTAATTGTTATTATTAGTATTTATTGAATGCTATAAATTATTAATTGTCGAATGTGATTTATTTGTCAAATTGCCTAATTGTCTAAATATTAATTAATTGCCTAATTGCTAAATGTTATTATTTAATTAAAAATGTGTATTTGTATTTTTACTAATATTATCATTATTTTAAATGTATTATAAAAATATATTATATCCGGTTATGCATTTATTGTGCGATTTAATTTGCGAGACGATCCGATTTAACCTATCAAACTCGAGTGAAAACCGTATTATCGCTACGTAATCGGGCCCGAGAGCCGAACCGTGTTATCAAATTTAAAATCCAGCCACTTGATTGTTAATTTTAGCCCAAGGGATATGTTCTTTATTATGGCCCAATCTCATGTATTATCTTGGCCCCAAATTGATTAATTTATTTTTGGTCCACATTAGTTTTGAGCTTTGACTCGTGAGTCCACCTCCTCACCCCAGGACCGAGTCGTCGTCCAATTCTAATCTGCTGCGATTCTTGGGGGAAAAATCTCGTCGCTCGACAATCTCTCTCTCGTTCATCTCTTAAATCTCGGCCGAGAGAGATCGACTTCCCTTCATCAAATCGCGAGTTCAATTTTGCAATCCCCTCTACTCGATTTCGTGAATCGCCGTCTGAAAAATCTGTCGCCATTTTCATCCGACGAGTCCACCTCGAACAACAGATGTCGATCGAGCAGCGAGTTTCAGCTTTCCATCGCAGGCGACCCTCTCCGCCGTCACCGGTCAAACCGAGAACGCAGCCCTCCGCCGTCGAGCAGACGAGCCCTGTTCCAATTACAGTTTTCGTCGAGCCTCCATAAAAAAATCCCAGCCACCGTCGACGACCCTTCACCGCCTCCTCTGCCACTGTATGACCGACCAGCGAGATCCACAGACGAAAGAAGCAGCCGCTGAACCTCTTTCCACGAGCATCCCCGCCGGTGTCCGTTCACCACCCGCTCGCGAGATGCCAGCCACCGTCGCTCCGCCCTTTGTCGTGAACCACCACGACCAGCAGCAACCTTGCGAATTTCCGGCGAATCCTGTCCGGGCTCAACCAGTGAGCTCTCTTTCTCCGTCGAGCCTGCTCCTCCACGTGAGAAGCTTCTCAGCCGCGACTAGTTGCTTCACCTCCGGCGATTTTCCGTTCAGCAGCAGCAGCTTTCCGGCGAGTTCTTCCGACGTGGACCAGCAGCGAGCCATCCTCCGAGCACCGCAGCACCTCTGTCGAGGCCCTCCGTTCGTTGCCCCTCGCCAAGCCCTAGCTGCGAGCGTTCAGCCCCGCCACTTGCACCCCACGAGACGAAGCTCCGCCGTCGAGCCGATTGCCACTCTCCCCTTCGTCTCGTTTTTGAACGTTTATTCCGAGAACGGTACAAGGCTCGACCCGTCTCGCTTAATCCTATATATTATTTTATGTGCTCGATTATGTGAAATGGGTGTTAAACGTACTTCGTGAATTTAAATTCGTGCATTAGTTGAGTAATTGTATGGATTTTATTTTATATTCGCAAATTGGATATCAAAGTGATTGCCGTCACTTTGAATAATTGTCGAACTGAATGTAATGTGGTTTATTTCGTGGAAATCCTGGAGCTTTAGGTACTTGGAGTTGTCCTTGATCTATTAGTTTTGGTTTGAGGTCGTTTCGAGTTATATGTAGGGAGATATGATTTTTCTATACCGAGCATGCTGCTGAACCGTAATAAATTCACCATAAATCAAGTTGTTATCGGTTTGAGCTGAAGTTTTGATATGTTGTGCCTCTGAGTATATGGAATATGTATGCCAAGCCCCCGATTTTATCTCTGAGGTTTATGTGTTCAAATGCTTAAAACGGTTCCTGGGCAGAAACTTGTAAAAATCATTAAAAATCGTACACTTGGAGTTTTGATCTGAAACTTTTAGGAACATGTTATTCTGTGATGTTTTAAATTGTGTAAAAATTTCAGATCAAAATTCGAAGTGTAGCTATGTGATCTATCAAATGCTGATTTTGGTGCTGTTTTTGCTTAAATCATTTAAAAATGTTCCCGGATGAATTTAGGGCTGAAACTTGGTGAGTTTATGTTTTTTTGCATGTTTTATAATGTGGTAAAGTTTCAGGTTGATTGGCTGAGCCTAACTCCTAATTCTGAATTTAGTTTATTTTGGAGTCTTAATGCTCGGTTATCGGTTATTTGGGTTAGGATTGAATTTTATTAATGTTGGCATGACTTATGTGTATTGACTGAGGTAATTGAGTTGTGTCCAGGTCTGGTAGTCACTCCATAGTACCTAACTCGGTCAAGGAATCCACGAGTCACTTAGTCGATGTGAATTCGGCTAAGTATATGTGCCTTATGTGCTGTTTCGTATTGAATAGTAAGTGATAGATTATTATAAATTATTGTAGGTCCTTCGAGCTGAACTTGTGCCATAAATCCTTCAACTCTGTGTTTGGCTAAACCTCATGCTATATCCAGGTGGGTTTAATGTAAAATTTGTCTATGCTGTAAATGTTATTACGGTTCCAAATTTGGTATGATCAAGTATGCATGTGGAACATGTAGCCTTCGATGTGAGCTGTACCGGCCGTCGAATGGTTATCCACGTAGCTATATAACGTACCCGTAGGGTAGTCTCCTTTTTGAGCCGTAAGACCTGGGTTAAAGGTCCCTATGCCGGACGACCCCCGTTGGTAAGACTAAGGTGAGGCCTTGGCTGGCGGGTTACTCCTACTGGCTGGACACGCGATGTAAGACCGGTGGGCTTTCGATATATAGTCGGCAGTAGTCTATACGTAGGTGTGCACACGAGTCTATTATTGATATTATTGATGGGAGACTGGAATAGATGATTGTTTCATATATGTGCTACGACCATACCTGACTTATTGTTGATTATTGATTACTGTTTTTACTATTGTGGATAATGTTTACTGCATAGTTGTGAGTACTACTTTTTCCAACTGTGCTCATCCCCACCTGAAATTCACGTTTCAGGTTAAGCGAGGCAGGTACGACGGCGGAGTAGAGCGAGTGGTGGTCGGTCTATAAGACTGGCCTTATTATTTGTTATGCTCCCGCATTTTTGAACTGGTTTTATGATTATGAACTTGGGCTATTATTGGATTTATGAATTTCGGATTTTATGACTGAATAATGTTAAGGAGATGCTCCTTAGAATTTATGAATATTGTTGGAACCCGGTTTGGGTGATGATTTATGAAATTTTGAAAAACCTGTTTTTGGGAGTTAGTATTATTGATGATGATTGATGATTGAGTTTGATGAATGATCGAGTATTGAAAAATTGGTTAGTATTGAAGTTCGATTTATAAAGGGGTAACGCCTCAGGTGCTTCGAAATAAATTTGAAAAATTTATTCTTATTTTTGGCAAATAAAAGTGGGGCGTTACACTAGGTCAACTCGACTTAGGCGGATAAAAGAAAGGATAATAAAGGTGGTCAAGATCCTAAAAGTGTTGGGAGGCAGTTGGTTAAGGGCTAGACCATACAAGCCGCATAGCTCGAGCAGAGCATTGCAAATAGGGAAGCGCAGCCCAAGGTCGAACTAGGTTTTGAAGAAGGTATAGCACCCTTCAGGGGGATGATCATAGGTGTCATCGTCGCTAGGCCTATAGACACTCTTACTCTTAGGGTGGCCAACATCATCAAGGTTGAGCCAGTTGATATGGTTCGAGCGAGGACAAGAGCTTTTGGAAGGACATTTGGTTTTTGAGCGACTGGAGGAAGGGTTGGATTTTTTGCGCGAAGATGTTGTAGGTTGAGGAGAAAGGGTTTCGAGCATTCCATCATCCTCTTCTTCGTTCTCATCTAGAAGACCAAGTGGTCGATGAGAACGTGGAGAGAAAGGAGGAGGAGAAGGGTTAGATGTACCCTCATCTGGGTTATCGACGATGTAAGTTGAAGGAGAAACAGTCTCAGTTGAGCGACTCTGAGATGGAAAGGTTGGTCGAAGCATGGTCAAGGGTTGAACTTGGAGAATCTCCTCAACAGAGTTACTGGAAGTATTAGAAGTCGAGGAAGAGAGTGAGAGAGACATGTCTTAGCCGCTATGGTGGTTGTTTTCGCTCGAAGTTGCAGAATCTGAAAAAAAAAAATAGAGAGAAAAAATGTCAAAAAAGAAAAACAAAGAAAATGAGGATTTTTGGGGATTTTCTACAAAGAAGGAGAAGGGATGAGGAGATTCCCACAACAGGTAGGGCAAGGCGAAGAGAGCGAAGAATTGAAAAATTAAAATCAAAACAAATTCGCAAAGTTCAAAGGAAATACAAGTTAGAAAATTTAGAAGGCTTACTGATCATTAACAGCAGGGTGGTCGCAGTGAAGATTGAAGAACTTTAAGTTATTTGAAATCGCCGAAAGCTTGAAATTGCACAGGAAGCAAAGAAGATTTAAGTGCAAAAGTTTGTAGAAGTGAAAACTTTCCTAAGTATTGGGGTTTAGGTATTTATATAAGAAGAAGAATACAAGAGATAGAGTATTAACCGTTGGATCACAAAGTATCAAAGGTCACGATCTAAAGGTAGGGGAACAGGCGTCACGGGGATGACTGTTGGATTAAAAATGTTGATCCAACGTGATGGGTCTACTTCCAGATCTGGGGTAAACCGGGTGTTGTGAGCTCCAATCTGTTTGAACCGCCTCTGAATTGTTGCTAGATCGCCAAAACACCTACAAGAACTCAACGCCGAAAGTGTTTCCGGCGTAGAGCCTCCGACGCTCAAGTCAGAATGGGAAAGAGATGAAGAAGAAGACTGCTCTCAGAGAGCAGCGGCAGTAGTAGAGGGAAAATGTATGGAATGAATAGAAGTTGGGGTTTAGGGTTACCTTACCTCCTTTACATAGAAGGTGATATAGCCACATAAGGATAACCCGGTCTAGAAGTTCCCTACTCGACCGGTGAACCACTCAAACAACTCGTATGTCGACAGGACTCTGTCGACATCTTCACATTGACTTTCCTAAAGACGATTCTACTAAGAGCAATAGGAAAGAAGCAGAAATCGGCCTAGTCGACTCTCCCTAGTCGACCTTAGTCTATCGACTTTTACTAGTCGACATCAATGAAAGAAGGGCAGCAAGAGACGCCCGAACATCCCGATATCCTAAGTCGACTCTCAGCAGTCGGCTGAACTAAGACGACTCTCTGAAGACGACTTCGCCTCAAAGAATTAGTTAAGCGTAGCCTCCGAATCCGCACATATCCACGAGTCGACTTCCTAGCTCTCGAAGTCGACCTCGCATACCTCGAATAACAAAGATGTGATGATGACTCATCACACTTACAACATACTTGAAGTTCTACACATTACAAAGGATAAGAAGGAATCTGTTGATGACTCAGCAACAAGGGGAGACGAATCGACCAGAGCATTTTGGACCTTCTAAGTCCACCGACTTGGGCATTCTAGGTACTTCAGGTAAATATTCACTCCTATATAAAGGAGGTGAGGTAACCCTAAACCCTAACTCTCATTCATTCCCACTCTCCTCCATAGCTACTGCACAACATCTCTTCATCACTCTCATACTGACTTGAGCGTCGGAGTCTCTACGCCGGAAACACCTCCGGCGTTGAGTTTTTGCAGGAATCTCGCGGTCTAGCAATGATTGGGAAGCGGTTCAAGCAGATCTGAGCTCACAATAACCGGTTTACTCCAGATCTAGAAGTAGACCCATCATTTGGCGCCGTCTGTGGGGAGTTCTTGAAGGAAGTAAGAGCTTCACACCCAGCTCCGATCTGTTTACCGATGGCGGAAAAGGAAGGATTGCAGAGGAATCTGAACGAGGAGTTCAGAGGGACATGGATGGACAAGAGGCCACCACCGCTCTCCACCACCAAACACCCCGTGATGCAGATGATGGGGATACCACCATTTGGAGGACTTCCACCTCCAGGACTGACGTTGGGCGGAAAAACACCTGTAACTCCAACCGGCGTGAAGCTGCAAGTGTTGACCCAAGCAGGAACAAGTCAAAACCCTAACCCGGATGAGGAGAAGGAGCCGACGGAGATGTCTCAACGCGAGGGAAAACAGATACAAGAGATACCGGAGCAGACACAACCCCGAGTCGAAGAACAGACCTTGACAGTGACAAGGAGT